ATTGCGACTCCTATCTCAAGACGCAATCGAGTGTTGAGCTTTGTCAAAACTGTTATAGAAAACATGCTCTTGGATCTATATTTAAGTTTGACTTTTTCTTTTATAGATTTTTTTTTTAATAAAAAAAAAGTCAATCAATAATATATATAATAATCAAAGCAAGTCTCTAAAAAAAAGAATTATGTTAGCCTACGAACTTTTCAGCCCACCATTAGAGGTAGGGTATAGGCTGATGAATTAAGTAATGCTATAAATGTTCCTCATCATAAATACACAAAAAAGGCCGTGATTATAGGTACAAAGTTGTCCAGAGGAAAAAAAGAATTATGTTAGCCTACGAACTTTTCAGCCCACCATTAGAGGTAGGGTATAGGCTGATGAATTAAGTAATGCTATAAATGTTCCTCATCATAAATACACAAAAAAGGCCGTGATTATAGGTACAAAGTTGTCCAGAGGAAAAAAAGAATTATGTTAGCCTACGAACTTTTCAGCCCACCATTAGAGGTAGGGTATAGGCTGATGAATTAAGTAATGCTATAAATGTTCCTCATCATAAATACACAAAAAAGGCCGTGATTATAGGTACAAAGTTGTCCAGAGGATTATTAAAATGTCAACCATGAGAGCAGTAATAAACAATTTGTAAAACTGATTCTAGCTTATTTTTAATATTTAGAATGAAGCCGCAAATCGATAGACATGACTTATAAGTGCGTCCTTAAAGCAACAGGGTCAAGAAAATTCATAACAAAACTATATTGTGCAGTACGGAAACGGAACGGGCTTCTTTAAGATATAATTAAAAATAGTCATGAGATATTTTTTTCTACTTCTAGGTATTTTTAAAGGACGCAAATCTCAAGTTCCGTCAAACCATTTCTCAAGTTAGACATTTCCGTGCTCAAGATACGATCCGTTTTAGAATAAGAGCTGAAGACATACTCACAGAACATTAACACCGTTTAAATGTCATTAATAATTGGGGACAAATTTTGGATGTCAGATTCAATTAACAGAAATTACGTTTACGAATACTGGATCAATCAAGAAGATGTGACCAACATTCTGTCTAATGCTTAACGCTTGTAACTAAAGACAATGAAAAAGCAACTCACCTTCACTCTCTTCTTTATCAGTGGACACTGAACGAGTCTTGAATGCATTCCGTTTAGCATTCGTATTAGCAGCAGCAAAAGACTCCGGGTTCAACTCCGCAGCCGATTGCGCTCTTCTACACCGACGTTTTTTCTTCTTATAACTGGACCTGTGCCGCTCCTGGTAGAATCGATCATGACCAGTTGTCTCCGGCTCTCTCTGCTCCTTCCCTTCATTATTAGCCTTCATATGTTGGTACAGGTTGAACATCCTGACTATAATGTTGACGGTATTTCAGCACTTGCTTAACCACTTTCAGCACACTCTTGGACACTGGTATGATTTCGTGTAATATGGCCTAATCTTATTAGGGTTTATGAGCATTAACTATTGGAGACAAGTAAGCGGCTCGGGAGTATGGGAATACAATAAGCAGAGTTGCTAATTGAAGTCCTACGAGTCTTAAGCCGGCTTTGTTTGACACACCTACGTAGCTGATCGACTGTTCTAAATGACTACGTCACACTTGGAGTATTATCGTGTCAATCGATGTGGCCGACATCGAGCAATTGGTAAAACATTGGTTTACACGGAATAAATACGACACGAAAATCGCAGGTAACACGTGTACAAAAAAATGATGATACTGATGTACCGTTTACCGTAAAGTTTATTTATGGTTCGGGTATGTGTCCAGCCGAAGTAAGATTGTTTTAGCATAAATCTTAGTGACAAGTGCACTAACAAAATGCTTAAAAACAGTACGTATTTAAAAATTAATACCAAATTACCCACGTGAAACGAACTAAATACTGAATAATGAATTTTGCGTTTTATTTGAAAATTTATAAAGAGCGAATTTAGAACTTCCGTTTGGGAGTCAATTGTCAATTATTAATTTTTAAGACCGTTTTACCGACACAAGTTTATTTATAAGTAAACTCAAACTCAAAATAACTTTATTCATATAGGTAAAAAAATACACTTATGAACGTCAACAGAAAAGATGTTAAATTGATTCTAAATTTACATTTACTACCAATTTGCAAGTAAAGAAAGGAAAGAAACTCTCTGCCACCTCATTAATCGCAAAATTTTTAGTCATAGAAATTGTTTGAACTGGAGCGAATCAATCCCGAGGATTAGGATCATTTAAATATTCGTCAAATTTATAAAAAGCTTTATTGATTAATTTACGTTTAACGAGAGCTTTGAATTTATTTAGTGATAATTCTCTAATTTCGCTTGCGAGTTTATTGTAAGAACCAAAACAATTTCCATATAAGAAGTGGTTTATCTTCTGGAGCCTGGTTGGACGTACGCTTAGTAATCGTAATTCTTTACATAATTTAAGCTCCTTTAAAAATATTTTTTTAGCATCGTAAAATTATTGTTATATAAAATTAATTGCATCTGGTACAATGTCTTAATGACAGAACTCGTTTAATCCTATCAATGGCTTAAATAAATTATATAATTACCTTATGTACTAGGCATGTAAGACACGGAAGTAAATGGCTTTGGTACGTAAACCCCATGTTTTATTTTATTGAGGAACATTGCTAAGGTATTAAGTATTCTTTCAATTTTGTCGGGCATGAAAGGAATTTCCCAGTAGATTTACAAATTTTCAAGGTAGAGGCTGTAAAGTTTGTGCCGCCCTCGCCTCTACAATTGTCATGTCCTAGATTATTTTTAGTTCATTGAAATGTTACAATTTGAGGGCCAAACTGAACATTTGTGGGACGCAATTTTATTTATGGGACATGTAGGGGGGGTCAATACAAGCTTTAACCCTAGTTTGTGGGGTTGCCCCCGCCATCTTGGAAAATATTTTACAATCAAACAATTTCGTTGAAATTGTACGCAAATTAATTTTGAGCTTAAAATTATAGACTGTAGGACTGACATATATAAGTTGATAGGGGGAAGGGGTAAAACATCTTCTACAATTTCGCTCTTTTCACTTATACAAAGTGTGAGCTGAGGGCGCAGAGGTGTAAATCAAATCAAATTCATTTATTCATATAGGTAACACAATGTACACTTATGATCGTCAAAAAAGAAATATATATTAAATGCTTCTAATTTTACATTTACTGCCAGTTCTCAAATCAAGGGCGTAGAATGGAAGAGAAGAACTGGAAAAAAAAATCCGCAAAGTTTTTTGTTTTATTTCTATGTATACCTGGTTGGGGGGCAGCGTCTAGCTTACTCTAGAGTATGGAAGTGTTCTGCAGAAGTACAATGACAAGTGAGAGGTAAAAGTTGGCAAAATTTGTTCCAGACTTCTCTGTAAAACATTAAAAAAGCGTCAAAATCTGTTTGATTTCTAAGAGGTAGCAAAAAAAACCTGCCGCCTTAGGCTTAAGCCTACTCAGCCTGCTGGAATTTCCACGTTTACTCAGCTCCTATCCACTGCTACTGGTCCTGCCGATGTCGGAAATATATCTAAATACTTCTAGCTACCAGGAGTGTTCACACTAAGGTCTATGTAGCAGTAGCAGCACCTACTGGAGGGACGTATACACAAGCTCACGCCCACTTCCTTCTCCGAAGAGAGAAGTAGCAATATAAACAGTACAATGGAGATAGAGGGTTTAAATAAAAACAAAATCAACAATTTATAACAATTTATTCGTGTCACAAAATAGCTATAAAAATATATAGGAATTAGTCTCACTATCACCGTATTATACGACAGGAGTACTAAAATAACTCCCAAAAAGCCCATCATTTTCTGGACAAATTAGACATAATAGTAATTAGGTTCGATACTACAAGTCTACCACAGTTCTATAAAAATGCTAAGAAAAAATGCGCTAACATATTCGAGCAAATATTTGTGCATATAAAATAATCTCAATAAAAATTTTGACAATTATAAAAAAAATACAAACAAATGAGTGAAGCATATTACAAAAAAAACACTTTCAAAATGGCAGCATAGTTTTGGCACAAATATAAAAATCATTTATTACAACGGGTTTATCACAATTTTGTGTTTCACACACATCGGGAAAACGTTGAACATACAAAAAAAATCATAATTTTTAAACTTTGTGAATTATAACCAAAATTTGGTGTATAACTGAATATAATATTGTGAATAAAAAAAATGCTATAAAATTGTAAATAACAAAAAATAAATTAAATATGATCTCAGCTTTAGCATTGTTTGGAAGCACTGTTTTAGCATTTTTTGTATACAGAAACAATTTAAAAAAATATATATTTTTTGGAAAACATACAACCATGTAAGTGATTTAATTAAGATTTAAATAACACGGCCCTTGAAACATGTGCTGTGTCGCCAAAGTGGTCGTTCGTGAAAAAAATTTTTAATGTTCGATTATTTTTATTATATTGGCTGACTTTTAAAAAATAAACAAAATAATCTTCATACTTAATTTCCACGAAGTTCACATCTATAGTCTATGTTTACTCTATGGCATGTTTTGTATCTGTGACCACGCCGCGTTTGGCGCCATTATTATCACACGACCGAGTTACATTGTGTAATAAAAGCAATGGTTTCATAAAATTAAAATATATACTCAACAAAAAAGAAAATTTAAGTTAAATAATTACAAAAAAGTGTGGTTAATTTTTGTACTAATAAGGAACTGTCAACTACATTTTATACTTACAATGGTTTTGAACCAAATCTAACTTTATAAAAACACATTAACTTAAATATATATATATAAGTTTGCACCGATATAAGTGTTCTGTCTCTTTTCATCACAGCGTAAACACAATTTGTTGAAAAGAGACGGTAGTAGTAATGAGATTTTTATCAAGAACGGTTTTTTTTTATTATTTTTATAACTACGCAGTTAGCTGGTATTTTAGCTTTCTAAAGCTAAATATATTAACTTAAATGGTTTAAGTCTTAATAATTACGTATACTTAAAGTAAGCAGCGTTGAGTTGTTCTAGGAAGATGAAAGTGAGCACGGTGTGTGGACCCAATCGGGCGTAGTAGGGCACGAATCCTTTCCACAGTGACAGCACCCCTTCGTTTTTGAGGAGATTTGACACTACTGACATTTGACTTTGACCTTTGGCCGCGTTTTGTATTCTGTAAGTAAAATATTTTTTGAAATTAGAATGTCAACATTATTTAAATTAAACTTATTTGTCCCAGATACTCTAATAATAATATAAAACGCTGTAGATATGTCAGAAATTGACGGTTTAATTAAGTTTTATTTAAATACTAGTAGACTCGGCCAAGCGTTGCTGTGGCTAAGATTTTTTTATATTACATAGTAGTAAACTATTCAAGAGAAACGGCAGGAGAACACCAATCCACCATGCTTTTTTGGTGGTTATGCAATTTAATGGCAATAGCTTATGTGAAACGTTGGTAATTATTTTGATAAGGATCAATACCTAGGTACGAATAAAGAGCCTTTTCTAGCGGTGGTATTTTAATAAAAAAAAAATTAATAAAAGGACGCTTATTGTGACGTAACTATAAAAGATAGAGACATGCTGTCGCGACATTTTTTATAGATAGTGATGTGTCCTGAAAAATTTTAATCATCATTTTGTTCTATCATTAATAGTTTTCGCAGCGCACGCGATTGAAGGAAGTTTTTTGTTTATTTTTTACACCTTGGGTTAGATTATTCGAGTTTTAGTAAGCATCGCTAATTTTTTTTAAAATGAAACATAGCCTATGTCACTCGGGAATAGTGTAGCTTGCCAACGGTGAAAGAATTTTTGAAATCAGTCCAGTAGTTTCAGAGCCTATTCATTTCAAACAAACAAAAAATCAAACCTTTCCTCTTTATAATATTATATTAAGTATAGATTATACCTCCCGAAACCAAAGCATTTTTAAATTTTGAAAAGCTATACGAAAAATAATTAAAAATTAAATTTTTATTTCTTTGGTAAATAAATCATAGGTCCTAAGTTCGAGTCCCACCGTTTATGTATCTTGAATTCTGATCGTGGATAAGGCCACCGCACTCAAAATGGCACTTCTTTTTTTGATGAAAAATAAATACCTGGTCTTAATAATATCCACGGGCATCGAAGCGATGGTGGTGACCAGACCAGACACCATGGACGCGCAGAAGTGCAGCGTTATACCAGCAGGAACGTAACCCACAAACATTTCCCTAGCCTGAAAAGTAGGATTGTTAATATAGTTAACGAATAACACTAAGGTCGTGGGTTCTAACCTGGGGCACCTAAGCGCGCAATTGGCTCACACAGCGAAGGAAAACCGTGAGTATACCCAAGTCCAATACATTTTTGACATACAGGAGTCACACTTAGCGGTAAGTATCGACCTTGGATAGGGTGAGATTTCCCAACCCTAAGTGAAACGTAACTTAGCGCTAAGTCTGGCTTCCATATGTCAAAAAAGTACTGGAATTTGACACATGGGAGTCACACTTAGGTAAGTACCGACTTTAAATAGGGTTAGATTTCCTAACCCTAAGGGTAAGTGAAACTTACCGCTAAGTCTGGCTTCCATATGTCAAAAATGTAATAGAATTTGACACACGGGATTCACACTTAAGTACCGCCTTTGAATAGGGTGAGATTTATCCGATCCGACTTATATACTACTACTATGATATATGGTCAACACCGAGCGAGGCTTACCTGTGAGTACGTGCTAAGTTGTGCCGCATTAACGACCATGGCCCGTCCAACTGTGGGCATCGCACCACGCCATAACTTCAACACGCCTTCTTCGCGAATTATTCTGAAATTATTTATTCAAATGAATTTTAAAATCTCTATTATCTAAACCTTTTCTTTTCATCACGCTATTTTTGTGGAATCATACCTTTAGCAAAGGCTCTCCCTAGACATAAGGGCTGCAGATCCACGATCGTATGTCAAAGATCAAAATCTCAAAAACAGAATTACGTTATTTATTAATAAAACGTAATTCTGTATGTATTAATGTATGGCAAACAATATTTATAACAATAGTAACCTACATATATAAACGTACTAACAAAGTGTATTACTACTTAAAAATTGGTATCTCAGTCTTCCCAAACCTGTCACAAATGTATCCAGTTGGTGAAGAACTAAGGAAAACGTTTAGTAGCAAATACAGGACCGTTCGTAAGCTCCGCTCAGATAGCACTCAAAGTGTATAGTCAAGATATTTGTTCAAAATTCGACTAGACTTCACGTATACTTTGACCATTAATACGCCCAACTGTATAGTTGATAGAAATTGAATACTGACCTCAACAAAGCGTCAACTACATTTTTATAATTCCTTCTTTGTTCTGCTGGCAATCTTCCGTCAGCTGTCATCCGAATTAGCGCCACCTACACATATAAAGAAACTTGACTACAGACAAAACTGGCATTTGAATTATTTATAGACAGATTATGTATGGTAAAATTTAAACTAAAAATATTATAATTAAGTGATTTTTATGAAATTACCACAAATTGCTTGCTATACATAAATATTTACTGTTCCTGGGTCATAAAAAAAAATAATCAGTGGCGCTACAACCTCTTTAGGTCTTGAAAATCTGAAATCTGAAGCCAATTTTAAGCCAGATTTTTAAATCCTATAGGCAAGTAGTTGATCAGCCTCCAGTGCCTGACACACGCCGTCGACTTTTTGGGTGTAAGACATGTCGGTTTCCTCACGATGTTTTCCTTCACCGTTCGAGCAAATGTTAAATGCGCACATAGAAAGAAGGTCCTGCATCAATATGCACAGCTGGGGATCGAACCTACGACCTCAGATATGAGAGTCGCACGCTGAAGCCACTAGGCCAACACTGCTCTGTTCCTGGGTCATCGGGGTGGTTTAAATAAAAGAGGATTTTTGTTTATTCTATAACTAACCACTCACGTACAAAAATAGAATATGCGAAATAATGAAACAATTTGCTATGAAACAAATGAATGTAATGTAACAGTTGAAGAAAGTACCTGCGTCTGTCTTTACTCTCGGGGCGTAACTCCGAAGATTTAGAAAATCGCTACGCTAACAAAGCCTGAGTAAGAAAAGTGTACATCATTGGCTCGTACCAAATTTTTTCCATGTAATTGGAAAAGAAAATTTGAAAGGAGCGAAACAAAAAAAAATCAATCAATCATACATATTAAGAATATATAGGACGCGTGTTGTATGATTTTAGCCCGAGCAGCGGCGCTACGACCTTTTAGGTCTGGGACTCAGATTTCTGTATCTGTTTCATGATAATTTGTCAATCTAATAGGCAAGTAGAGACTTTTTGTATCTAAGGAAAGCCGGTTTACTCACGATGTTCGACTTTCGAGCGAATATTAAATGCGCACATAGACAGAAAATCCATTGGTGGACAGCCGGGGATCGAACTTACAACCACAGGGATGAGAGTCGAACGCTAAAGCCACACTGCACAGGCTTAAGGGAAAATTAAAAAAAAATATTTTAGCTTGATTTAGCAAACTCTGGCCATAACTTCTCTAAAGTACAAAGAACTGTCAAGTTACTAGAATAAATCAAATCGCGTAAAGTTATATTTAACCATATCTGTTTCATTCCTCTTTATCTGCTTTATTTACACATGTATGTTATCATCTATATTGACTTTGAACTTGAATTGTTGTCTATTTTCGTGTCAATCTTGGCATAAACTCAAACATGACCAGGTCAATGTGCCATGCAATTTTACGTTCCCATAGTGATGAAGTATTGTAAAGACAATTATTTATCAGGCAAAAGTTCCCGCGAATTTTATTTGTCAAAAAATTCGACTACCAATTGACAGATTAGGTTCACTCAAATTCACAGAGTACAAAAAGTTCATCGCCAGGGTTTATTTAGAGGCTCGAGACAAAATCACTTTTCGACCGTCGTGACTAGCTAACGCTGAACGATTTATATGGGAATGACATTAGCTCACACTTTGTCACGTGACCTTTTTCATATAAATTCGTTTATCGTCAGTTAGCCACGTAAAGTGAGGTAGTGATTTTGTCTCAAGCCCCGAGCCGGTATTCCAGAACGTACTACAAACTTGTATGTATGTCAAACCATTTATTGGAATTCAAGTTTGACATAATTGACAGTCAGATTGAGGCCTGAATTTTTTTTAGAGTTTCTTACCTCTGCAGGTGTTCCTACGAAGGCACCAATAGAACCTGCTGCAACACCTAGTGCAGTTTTCATTCCGAAGCCCGGCGCTTCACCCCCGTGTCGCCTGAAATAGAGTCAGTACATTTTACATTTTAGGCTGTAAATTCATAAAATCATGAAGCAAGAGACGGTGTGGTGACCACACGATACCATATTTTGGCATTTAACCTAATCTGTGAAAATGTGTTTCGAATAATTAATCTTTTTCATAACGATATTTTTTCAAAAGGTTAACCAATATCGATGTAAATTGATATAGAGTAAGATTTAAACTCAAACTCAAAATAACTTTATTCATATAGGTAACCAAGAATACTTATGAACGTCAACAGAAAAGATATAAATTGATTCTAAATTTACATTTACTACCAGTTCGCAAGTCAAGGGCGTAGAGCGGGCAAGAAACTATCCGCCACTCTTTTTAATCGCCATGTTTTGCGTCATATAAATTGTTTGTAAAGCAGAGTAGAGTAAAGTTGGGACTGTCTACTTCCTCGAATTCTTGTATGTTTAGAACCCACGAGGGTCAAACAGCAGAACTAATAAGCTTCGATTTTGAATTATTAATATCCTTATATTTCAGTGTAACAATCATATATTTTTATACCTAGACTTCATATATATATGCTTAAGACATGTTTAGGTCGGTTATCGAAAGCTGGCGCGTTCACAGTACTCACACTAATGCAATTTCACTATACAGTATGTTTAAAATATGACTTTTTTTGCCAAGCTATATTTAGTCTACTCTGGTTTAAGTAAGGTTGGGTGAGTTGTAAATAAATAATTTTTTTTCAAATACATATAAATATTATGTGCATACGAGGGTGGATCCAATAGTTCTAAGCCCGACCAAGAACGTAAAAGAGTAGTTTGTGTAAATAATTTTTCATTTTTCGACAAAAGCTCCATCTAGCTCAACACACTTCACTTTTACTTCACTAACAATTCTTTAAATACTCCTCTTAGAAACCCCAGTCGCATCTGATGTCAAATTAAAAATTAAATTTTTTCATTTAAATGTTTTTATTAAGATGCTTAAAATAATTAAAAACATTGTACACCATTTTACGAGATTGTCCTGTTAATGTTTAGACGGAATATATTTCATAAGACATTTTTTTTAAGTATTCTAACCTCCAACCAAATAAGTAAACAATCACAGACAAAATAATAATGAGAAAAAAAGATCAACATGTACATTGTACAGTAAAGATCAACATAAACAGTAGCAAAAGCAAAACAATAACTGTCTCTTTTATACTCATAAGCTTGACCGAGCGCGAGAGAGACGGACAGTCTTTTCATGATGCATATTCAGTGTGACAAGACGCCTCGCGCTTATTCACAGACACTACACAAGCACAAAGTGTAAATGTGTTGAAGCCGCCAGCTTTAAATAACATACCAATATCCTACCATGTGTCACATACGGCTGCCAGACTTGGGCATTATCTCAGAAAGTTGAAAGCATGTTCTCAACTGTCTGAAGAAGAAATTCCAAGAGGAATGTAAAGAAACATGGTGGGTGTAACACTGAGACATCGCAAAATAGCAGAAAAGATAAGATTAACGACCAAAGTAGAGGACATTATAAAGAAAATAATTGAAATGGCGCTGGAGCGAACACATGACGAGAGATAGCAGGTTGAAATGGACAAAGAAAACAGAAAGGCAACCACGAGATGGAAAATGGAAAAAGGAAAAGAGGAAGACATCACGGGCAGACGATATAAAGAGTAGGCACAACTTGGACAAAAAGAGCTAACTAGAGAAATGAACGGAAGCAGCTGGAAGAGGCCTGTGTCACAGGAAACGCAGATCACCAAAACCGGCACATTAAATGTATTAGATTAAGTTAGGTTAACTGGTTACTGGGTGTCAGCAACAAAATCTTAATAATAATAACAGACTTAAATAAAATTTCGCAACCGGAGTCATAAGCAAAGGCCAGTATATCATAAACAAAAGGTTATTGCCATTTGATATATATTTTTCCATCGTAAGTATAGAATAGAATATTATCAAACAATAGTATCAATAGGGTTGATAGGTCAAAACAGTTCACAACCCATACAATTTCATCACAAATTTTACGCACCTAAAACTTTGTAAGACAGAAGGACTGAATTAACTTTTCTTTAAATAAAATAAATCAGTGCCACTACAACCTTTTAACTTTAGATTTACATATGAATCTGTTTCATGATCATTTGTCAATTTAATAGCCTCTTGTGCCTGACACACTCCTGTCCACTTTTTTGGGTCTAAGCCAAGCTGGTTTCCTCACAAGTGTTTCACCGTTCAAGCGAATGTTAAATGCACGCATAGACAGAAAGTCCATTGATGCACAGCCGGGGATCGAACCTGTGACCTCAGGGATGAGAGTCGCACGCTGAAACCACTAGGCTAACACTACACTAACTAGTCTAGTTTAACCAATATTATTCATGATGTCATGTTTAGTGTATGGTTTTCTATTCAGTCAGTAATGTTTACTAGTCAAATTAACAATAGTATGAGAATTTGAAATGACCATTTTAAGGCATGTTTGTAGCAAATTTTTAAGAAATACTTTTAAGTTTCTTGGCATGTTCTTATCAAACCAGACAATATTCTCGTTCGTGCCTACAAACTAGCTCCCTTAAAAATTAAAAATAAATATTCTTTCATCAATTGTGTCTATTGTTTCTATCAAATTAATTTTAAGCTATAATGAAAGGAGACAAATGAGTCCTTTGAAACAGTGCACTTAAACTGATTAAGTTTTTATGATTAAGGAGTTAGTTTGTAAGTGATCATGTATACAAAATGAATAACTACGAGTATGTATATAATCAGTGTGGACTCAGGTTCCGCACTAATTTGATCCATGTATATTACGTTAAAATAAATATCATTATATTTCAGTTTCCTACTTTTAAAAATGTAACAGAGATAAATCTAGTCTCATAACCCGTCAACTGTTTCTCCATGAATCAAGAACAAGATTATGGCTTGATACATTTTGGATTAAAATACAGGCCAAAGTTCTGTAACCAACCTTTTTTTTAATGAACAGGGGGCAAACGGCATAGCTGATTTAAAGTGTTGTTGCCACTCGGTTCTCTGTTTTCTTGAAAGACCCTAAGTCAAATTGGTTCGGAAATACTTCAGTGGGTAGCTGGTTCCATAGTGTTGGTGTGAGGCACAAACTGCCTTAAAACATAGAAGAACTCAAGTAGAAGATGCAGAGACTCCACATATCAACGCAACGCCAATGATTGGTTGTCAAAGATTCAAATTGCTCTTTGTTGAATACAGTCAAGTGGAAGGAGCTGGTACTCAGGAGCTTCCGTCCAGAGGTGAGAACAGTACTCTATAAGGGGCCGAATTTGCATGACATTGCCGGGAGTAAAGTACTATAGGCCTTGCTGAGCACACCAAGCATCTTTAAGTCTTGTAACAAATTTGAATTTATGGAGGTTGAGAAAAATAGAGATATAAAAAAAACAAAAGAGTATGAAAAAACTATAGCTTGTAGCACTGAAGAAACTGAAATCCTATGTTTTAACAGGATGATAATTCTATAATGATAATTCTAAGACTAAACCTAGATTTAATTTAGACAAATAACTTACTCTCTATAAGCGTCAAATAGCCAGCTATAAACACCAAGACGTGTTGTTGTATAAGTTGCTTGTCTAAGCAGGCCAGCAGATAGTCCAGTGTATAATGAAGCAAATCCCTCACGAGCAACAATTTCACCAGCTACAGTGAAGGATGATCGACCACCACCACTTAACTGCATACGGGTTTTGATTAGATCAAGTGGTTGGACAACACATGTGGCTGCCATACTGTATAAATAAAAAACACAAAAAATTCAATAACATACCAAGATTACCAATACAAGCATTTTTCATTTTTTTCAACAGTATGTTAGTTACATAATATCAACATTGCAATAAAAAAAAGGTCAATAACATCAATCTAAATATAGTGTAAGTAATTAAATAATTTTCAAGTTTAAATTAATTTTATCTACATTATCTTTACGTTATTAATGTTATTAAGCGCTAGGATAATAAATTACACACCCCGCAAATCCACCAAAAGCAAATTTCAATCCATTTGGAATATATCTTTCCTTTGCTGGTGCAGCTTCATTTTGTCCTTGAGCCATATTTATCGGTAGATATTCCGATTAATTGCGTCGCGTTTATAAATATAAAAACAAAAACTCCCAACAAACACCTGATCGTAATGTTCGCCACGAAATGCTGAATTGCTGAAGCCTGAAAATTGAAATCAGTTGTCAAACAAATATTATAAATAATGACACCTATTGTCATTTTATAATATAGTGACATACTGACAGTTATGCTAACTTATAATAATGTTTGTTTTTTTACTTGAAACTGCCATAAAGGAAACTGGCATAAAGTCAAAACTATTGCCATAATATTTTTTAAAAAAATGTTTGTTTACTGTAGGCCATATTACGGTCTTAATTTTTTCAATTATCTGTCGTAATTTAAGTGCATTATCCTGTGCCTAATTTAAATTCAATATTCAAATTTTAATTTGACAGATTGATTCTTGTTAGTGAAATTAGTGACACTGGTTTAAATTACATTCCTAAATTTAGTACTGCAATTTACATCAAGGTTGACGGTGAAGATCCAGTAAGTCTGTCCTCGAAAAGCGCTACAGTCAGCTGTGCTTTAATTTTTTTGCTGCTACTAAGTTGATATGGAACACCCCATAATTCTTGTAGTGAAATTAGTGACACGACACGATCATGACAGTGCATCCTCCCCTGAGTGATATGTTAAAAATAAATTACGGACCTCTATAAAAAAAATACAGTGAGGAAGTTATAATAAACCGAATAAAAATACTCAAGACTTGTCCTAAAGGCCTAGATACCATAACGTCAAAAAAAAAAAATTGTACTTTGTAGGTAATGTAAATAATTGAAACGAATAATACGAATCGATTTTAAAAACAATCATCATTTTCTGAGAATTCTTGTTTGTGTAATAATGTTTATGCAACCCAGATTTTTTAATGAGTTCTTGATAAAATCAGGATTTGACACTCAAGTTTATGATGCTATGAAAAGCGATGATTTAGCTGATGTTGTTATAGTAGCACTTAATATTCTCAAAAAAACCAATAATCTTCCAGACATACCAAAATTAAACAAATGTGAAAATTTGTCGAATACACTTCGAGAAACAGGAAATAAATGTCTTCCAACTATGGATTATAAATCTGCATTACACTGCTATAACAAAGCACTTGCATGTGCACCAAATAATTCTAAGGCAATGGCGTTAGCTTACAGTAACAGATCGTTTATTATGTTTATATTAAAACGGTTCCAAAATTGTATAACAGATATAGACCGTTGTTTCTCAACAGGTTGTCCAGATTTTATTAAGCAAAAGCTACTTAAAAGAAGAGAAGATGCAACTAAATTTGCACACATGGATTCACTCTCATTAAGTCCTCTTAAAGTCTTTACTAATAATTTTTTTAGTTTTAATGCTGTTTGTCATACAGATGTACCATTTGTTTCTAAAGATATTAATATTGCAGTAGAGTTTTTACAACCAAAAATTACTGCTGCTAATTTTATTAACAGTGGTACAATAATTGCTATGGAAGAAGCATATATGACGGTGTTAACAGCAGAGAACCAATTTAATACCTGTTATGATTGTCTCTCTATAACACCTAATTTGATACCTTGTAACACCTGTTGTTCTGTATTATTCTGCAGTGAAAAATGTAAGCAAAATTGCAATGAGCAATACCATAAATATGAGTGTGAAATTATAAATGTAAGAGAAAAGTTTTGTAAAGGCGGAGGACCAAATTTGATGATTAAGTCAGTTTTAAAGCTGAAAACTAAATTAAAATGGAATCAATTTATTAAAGAATCTAAAACATTGGGAAACAGTCGAATTGAACAAAGTACTATCAGGGAAGTATTTAATTCTGCAAGTGATTGTTCATTGCTAACATTTCCTGAAAATAGAACATTTGTTCACGGTATTATTTACAATGCAAGCTTTGTATGTGCAGCTTTACTGCATTATGTCTTAAAAATTCCAAGGTTTATGCCCACATCAAACAAAGATGAAGCTCTCAGAGCTTTAGCACGGCTAATGATGTATTTATGTGTTAATGGTTCACGAAGTTATGTGATTCAGGCTGTAACTGATTTAGTAAGCAACCAGATAAAACCCCAACAACATGAAAATTTTGCTTCGTACATATTTTATTCAAAGCTAAAGCATGAATGCAAACCAAATGTTATTGTCTCATGGATAAACAATAAAGCAGTATTAATTGCTGTAAAGAAAATTATGCCTGGAGAAGAAATAACTACTTCAAATATGTAAGTATAACAATGGCATTTCTTCAACCTCTATGTTGAATTCAAACCAAATACACTTCTTTGATATTAATCACAAATCTTGTGACTAAGCCAATGAAATGAGCTAGGCAGACACTTGTAGTATTGGTTATGATAAACTCTATTTTACCAACTTTGAAAAACCTGTAAGACATTTGAAGTTGATTAAAAATCAGTTTTGATTGGTTAAATTAATTCCACAGCCTACTTTTGCTGATAAAAAGTAATAATTTTTAACATAATAATATTTATATATATTACTAGCAGACCGGCCAAGCGTTGCTGTGGCTAAGGATTTAATTATATTACAAAGTAGTAACCTATTCAAGGGAAACGGTAGGATAACACCAATCATGGGGACCACCATGCTTTTTTGGTGGTAAGGCCATTAAATTGTAGCTTATTTGAAACATTTGTACTTTCAACACAGCGCCATCTGTTAGAATTGTGACTATCAAATAATAAATATTATGCAATAAAATAATATTGCGGGTATAAATTGAATTGAGATGTAAGCTATCCTATCTTTTAAGTTAGATCAAACTGCACATGGTGTGCAAATTTGATTGAAATCGGTTCGGTAGTTTAGGAGTCCATAGCGGAAAAACAACGTGACTAATTTATATATATTAAGATGTTGATTTTTTACTATTACTACATATTATTACAGTGAACCAACATCTGGAATGCTACAGCATCATGTAAATATAAACCTACTTGTGGGCACAGGAAAGGTTTGCACATGCAGTAAATGCACAAAAAAAGATTCTAAGAATGATACCCTGTCTGGCGCTCAAATAGAATTCATTAAACAAGTTGGGTTAAATTTGTCGGAAACAAATATTGATATATGGGCCATTAATAAAGTATTCGAAAAATGCAAAGAAATACTGGATGATTTAAGTGATGTACCAAATTCTAATGAGTATCTAATTACTTTGTCCCAATTTCGAAAATGTCTTACTGTCTGTGAAGCTTTGAAAACTGAAAATATTCTATAAATGTCACTCATATAAGCCATTAAATGTAATTAAAAGAGGTTCAGATAAAATGGTTTTATTTAATGTATCCTGTGTTATCAAATACTTGTATGGTAAATATGTGAATGGGAATTAGTGATGTTGTAACATGTGTAATACACATGACAAAGTAACATTTTATATCAATCAAAACTTTGACAACTTTTGAGTTTAATAGAGTCAAATTCTAATCTGTTACTGTGCAGACTTGGTATTGTTCAATCCAGTCATTTGGATCTCTTTCAAATGCCTGCAAAAAACAAAGGTATAAATGAAGGCACTTTTCTACACCTGTATTTAAACCAAAACCCTCTAAACAAAGTCAAAGAGAAACTTAATAAAAGAAAATAACAACTTTCTGTATATTTATAAATTTTTCTTTAGGTTATCAGCCTAACATTCCTTGTTCTATCTGTTTCAACACAAAACGGTTTCACTGGGAACGCCAGGATCTCATTAAGAGTTTTGGTTACTTATTAGTTATTTAGAAGTAAGTAGAAACATTGAATCATTTTTATAAAGAACTTGCCTGTGCCATTTTGTTAAGTAGAAATATTTTTGGTACTTCTTCAATGGCTCTTTGACCCCATTCGAAAACATATCTCGCTAATTCATTTTCCCCAACCTGAAAATATTAAATTGTGACACTATAACAATGCAGACTTCCTGCACATGAAATATAGTACAAAGTATTATAAAATAATTCTTTTTTTTAAGGAAAATTTTGTGAAATTACCTTGGTATACTTTAGATATAATTGCTTAGTAAATAAATTAGTAATTATTTTGCGCCCTGCATTATCTGTTTCTTTTAGGAGACCAGTTTCGGTGAGAAAATTCCACATATCATCTGAAATAAAGTTTAATGATTATAAATTTATTGTTTATGTAGGTTTATGTTATACAAATAACTCGATACTAACTATTTAAAAAAAATTGGAAATCATATTCAACTATAATTTGTTGGGTAATAAGCACCCTACATTAATACTTCAGAATGATCTACTGTATTAACACTTTAAATCAATGATAAAGTTTACATTTTCAATACTGCACCAATTATTATTTCTGTAATGGCACTTGTCATATGATACATGTGACATCAAACACTAGTAACCCAAGTAATAAATAGAGCAGCCGAGGTGAATGTCATTACTTTTCTCTGAAATGTGTGAGAGTTGTATGGTGTAGAAATGATTTGTAGTGCTAGTGATCAAATATGTCTATAAAGGTCCGAAGAAACTGTTGATTCTGTCCCTATCTGTTCTGATTTTGATATAATTATTTATGTCACAGTTTCACAAGTTTCATAGAGCATTGAATTTTGTTTTATGAGGGTGAGATCAGATGTGAGATTTATGAATCCTTCATCACCATTCAATTTTTTTTATTCACTTCATCAACAGTAGTAAGTATTTTAACATGTATAAGTAGTTAATACCATCTTTTACAGGTCCTCCAGTCATAAAAATATGTGTCAGTGCTGCCACAAGCAGCTGTCTGTGAGAAACATCAGTTACTGTAGATAACAAGGAATCTTCACATAGTTCAGCCAAAACTACAATATATTGAACTCCAGATTTTGATGCTATTTGCACTAATTTAAAACCATAGATCTGAAACAAAAATATTTTTATAACCTTAAAGTTAAATAAATTCATAAGTAAAATCGCCTTCTTACTCATGAACATTTCTTATGTTTGGAAACCTAGTCATTATTTATGAATGATAAATAATTGATAATAAAGTTATATTTTACACCATTAAAACTTATTTTAAATGTACACCTGACAAGAATATTTCTACTCTTTACAAGTATAGTTGTCTTAATTATTTGTATACCTTTTTTAAAACTCTTTCAGATTCCAATATGATAGAATTCATATCATTTTGGGAGATTTGTGAAGACGTACTGAGATAATCTTTGATTTCACTTCTTTTGATTGGAACTTTGCTTCCTTCACGACATAATATATAACGAACACACTCCGTCACTGCATTTGGGTTGGTATTTGGGGACTCTTCAACTCTAGATGTACTTCCCTCTTTCCTTGTACTTCGAACCATATTTCCAAGCCTCAGCTATAGATGTTTTATCGTGGAACGAGCATATAAAATATAGTTCCTTTTTGTATTATTGTACTTCTTTGACTATGCACAGTCCTCCTTCACCAGTCCACTTCTATATAATGTACCCCCTAGAATCAACTTTAAATAGTTAAAATAACCCTAAATATCGATTAAAACCCCTAAAGTGTTTGTATTTGTACTTTGTTGTACACTCGTTTTGGGAAATATGTTATGAGAGGTAATTTGAAATTTCAAATATAGGTACGTCAAAAATACAACAACTATAGTTCTACCGGAAGCTCATGATAAACAGGGAAATAAAGATTTGTATTGGGCAATACTGGGGAGATTTGATTAAATGATCTTGATACTATTTAGATTTTATTTATGTATTTATTATTAATGAACATGAAGTATGTCGTGCCCGTAGAGCGAAATCTTATTAAGTCCTAGTCCTTTTCCCTGCTCTAAAGGGTTCCAACCGCTGAAATCGTTATACTTGGTGATTTTAACGCCCACCATGCCGATTGGCTCGGCTCTAGATCCACCGGAAAGATCCTTTCACGACTTTGCTTTAGCATACGACTTGACGCAAATGGTCCCTGCTATTACGCGAATTCCAGATGTGGATGGACCTTCTGCTGACTTCGCATCGACGCATCGACCAAGTCTCTGTTTGATCCGCCATTGGGTTCATTGGAGGATTGCTCCAGACGAGCATTGGCCCTTTCATGCACTCTCCATGGCCTCGCTTCGCAAGCTGCCACCGCGTGTAGCACTACAAGTCAGCAGGTTGGGATGGGATGCAATGTTTTTTGCATCCTTTCAAGCGAGAATGCTTTAATTGAGAATGTCTGGGCACAAGCGGTGACACCCTGTGATGCAACTATCGGTGAACGTAAAAAAAAACATAAAACTCAGCATCGAGGTCTTTCAAACGGGAAATCGCAAAGGCAAAGTCAGAGTTGGCGAGAAATTAGCCCACCTCCCTTCGGCGACTCGAGCCTTCTGGTCTCTTGCCAAAGCTGTCCAAGGGAATAGGCGCGTTATGAAAAATTGATGAGAGTGAAATTTTACGATGCGCACGCACCGTGACACAAAATTAACAGAATGAAGTTGCCCACGGAAGATGCTATGGCATTGGACATAATTTAAAAACAACATTCGAATAATAATATAATTTATGTTACACTTAAGGTAAGATAATAATAATAAATATTTATTTATTTTATTTTTCAAATGTAAACTGAACTTTATTGACTATAATGACTCCTTTTCCAGTCTTTGATTATTTAATTGTAATTAATTATTTGCATGCAATCATAAACTATTTTTAATAATGCCAAAGAAGTATAACTTCTTACGCGCGTACATAAGTACACGCACCCTTTTTTTAAAGACATAAAGAGAACAATTTACAATTCGTAAATTTTGGCGATTGTAAGTTAGCTATCCAAATACTGTCTCTGACTTTTCTCTGCAATAGTTAGATTTCCAGTGAAATGAGTTGATATGATCAATAACTTTTTCTTCCATCTCTAAACTGATAGTATGAAATAGCTGTTAGTCTGAAGTTGAAGCTTCTTGATATTTTAGTTATAGCCACGCTTGAGTGTACATTTGGATAAGTTTGTTGGTTGGGCTCTAGCCTAGAGGCGTAATACAAATTGTATTGAATAGACATCTTGATTCCCCCTAAATTTGGGGTGTAAACCCCCATGTTGGCATCACTGACTATGCAATTTATAAAAGAAAACCCTATTTAAATTTTATTATGATACATTATATTATTAGAGGTAAAATATGGACTAAGTTCAATCCTTCCTTCATGTGGTCGACAGAGTATTGACAATTGACTATAATAGATGCAAACAAGTCAACAGTCATATGTCAAGTATATAGTGCTTATTACCAATTCCTTTGCCTTTCCCATTAGGGATAAATTAATATCACCATCATCATCATCGTATATAGTGTTTTTTTATGGTCCGCACGGTTTGTGCATTGTGGCCCAGGGTAAAAACAGGGAAACGGGTAAAAGAATATAATTATCGGATGGAACGGAATTTAGGAATGTAAAATAATCTATAAAATAAGAGATCAATTCTTAAAAAAGGAGTTTAAGAAAAGACATTTACATATTATATTATCTAAATAGTATATAGTGTTGTATCAGTATTATATACATATTAGTACATAAATGTTCTGTGTTAGTTATGTGCTAAGGTTACAGTTACTGTGATACTGTCACTGTCAAGTGTTATTTAATGAAACCATTTCGTTATTTTTCTATTTTTGTCAATTGACTATTTGGGTCTAAGTTGAGAGCACGCTCTGCGCTTTTTGCAAGTAATTATTTTGGAGCTGTTTGGAACCAAACTTGTAAGTCGCTTGACACTTTGTTTTAAATCAGTATGTAATATATTAAATCATTGGTACTGTAATAACCCTCTATTCAGTCTACGACTGCAAATACCGGCGCAAAAAATCCTGCATCTCTAATATTGAATTGATATTAAGATAAATTGGTCTCCTTCCGTTCGTCCAAGGCCGTCAAGTCTCTAACACAACATTTTTTAAACTGTGTTTACTTTTAGTATATAAAGTGTTAAATAATTAATACAATTCATCATCATATTTCTTATAAAAGAGTGCAGGATAAACTTTCCAATATGGACCATCGATTTAAATACCCCTATTTTTTTGTAGATAGTACTCACTAAATGAAAGCGTTTTGCAAAGTTTTAGATTGCGGAAACTTACGGTTCATGAGATACATTTATTTTAACTTTTCATACTTTGGCTAATAACACGCAATTACAAAATAAATTTGACAAATAATCGATGTCAAACGTCAATTACTTCACGTTTCAATTAGTGTAGGGTTCCGAAAATTTTGAAAGTATCGATACCTACTGGTTTGTATTTTCTAATAAGTACTTGTATTTCATTGTTTGTGCAACTTTCTGTATTAACTAATTCTTACTAGAAAAAAGTGTTCTCTTACTTATTTAACATCCAAAAAGTACCCAAAACCGAATCAGAGCACCCCACTATCGACGTGATCTTGTCTGCCCTACCCCTAGTGTGTATATAAAAAGCTCCGAGGCGCGGAGGAAGAGCAGCCCCCACCCGCTGTAACAAAACACAGTCAGGCCTCCGCAGCTTCGGCTCTTAGCCGCTACGGCTTGAATAAATTGCCTGTACTTTGGTACGCAAGGGTGGAGGGGCTGCATTTCCCGTAGCGCCGAAGCTGTCCCAAAAAACCAATTATTATCTATTGTTCGGTTAGGTTAGGTTAGTATATAATTATTTTTTAAATAACTGTTTCTGGCGCGTGAAAGTGGCTGGGGGTTATTATTATAAAACTTAGAATTTCAAAAATTAGGAAATAATCGATAAATATAAAAAAATCGATTATTTTTTATTAATCGATTTTTCATGCTAAAAAACAATCGATTAATTAAAAAGCCGATTTTAATGCAGAATGTCACTGCAGAGACACCTACGTAATCAGTATTATCAAATTCGGGCGACGTATTTCTAAATCGTTACCATTCTAACCTTAAAACTTTAACCATGAATATCTCCATAACCATGGTGTTCTGCGGGGTGGGGATGACACAGGGGGGTAGTCCCCCTTCCCCCCCCAAAACCTCGAATATCGATGGTCATATTGGAAAGTTTAACCAAGTGTATAATATCGTGTATTAAAATATAATACAGTCAAAGTTTATTATAACGACATCAAAGGGGCTACTAATTTTTGATCGAAAAAACCGATAGTCGTAACAGCCGATGACGTTGTTATTAAGTACCTAAAACAATAGAATTCAGCCGGGACCTTTTATTTTGGTCAATATAACCGGTATATTCTTCTAAACGATGTCGTCATAAACGGTTTTGGCTGTATAATTCTTATATAATATATATATTTTATAAATCATAGAAGATGAACATAAAGTAGAGTAAAATAAAAACAATAGACCAATAATAATTATATGGTGTATCATATTTTTAAATTTAGAATATGTTTATTGTGCCTTATGTAAATTAATGCTTTTTTAATTGTCATGAAGATAGTGGAGTATTTACTTTAAAAAATTAAGAATAGAAAAACGTTAATACATTTGGATGATTTTTTTTTATTTGGTTTAGTACACATACAATAAAGAATTACTAAATAAAATTACATTTTTTTATGCTAAATTATGTTTGCAGCCTTGAGTACTATGGTTTTTTTCGATTATTTCCAAAAAAATATTCAACTCAACCCAATCATATTCTTTGGCCTATTTAGGGTTATTTTTTAGGGCTCTGTAAATTTTCTTTAGTCTCATAGTTTCTATATCTGCTCATTTTATATGTTAACGGATTGTAAAATTTAAAGATTAATACAAATAAAAATTTCAGATCATCATGCCTAATGTCAAGTTCTCCTACTTCCCCGTTAAGGCTCTCGGTGAGACTGTTCGTCTACTCCTGTCTTATGGTGGCCAGGACTTTGAAGACAACAGAGTTGCCATGGAGGACTGGCCTGCGTTTAAGCCATGTATGTGTATTTAATAAACATATATCAAATAGTATACACAAACAATCTAAAGCATAGAGATAGACAGGCTAGAAAATTTGAGAAAAGAAGGGTTGCTATAATACTGTACATAGGTTTTTTTATTGATGTTGCCATAAGAGAAATGCAAGTGTATAAGGTAATCCTTTAGAGAGCCCTCTGGCTGATGATATTGTCTATGTACTCATATGCCCACAATGTTGTATATTGTCATAAATCTCACAATGACGTATACATAAAAGTTTGACCATTTTATTACTAAAAAAAATTCAGGTTTAATGAACCCCTCTGGAACCGCCCTTGCTAATATCTTAGCATTACCTGCCAGCGCTGTATATAAACTGAACATAGCCTATGTGTCTTCATTTGCGTCATAACAGAGAGAGATAGTTCTTTCAAAATGAATTCAGTAGTTCCAGAGATCACT